AGAATACGAGGGATTACCAAGTGTGGTGCCGCTTCAGCATCCTCGTAACGGACCGGACCTGAAAAAGGCAATTTGCCACCATGAGATAGCTTTCAACGAGCTTCGCCTGACGTAAGGAAGTTTCGTCAGGATTCGAGAGTGTGCGTATGATGTTTCCAAGAAGCGGATCGGCCAGCTGCAAGGCAGCGAGCTCGGTGTCAGTAGCGGGGATGGTGATAGGGGGTGTCGGTTTAGGGTCCGTTAGCGCGTCAGGGTGAGGGGGGTCGTGATTGTCCCCCAGAAAATTTAAAAATAGGGGCATTTTGGTGCATTCTAAGCTATTCTGAACACAGTATATGAGACTCTTGAATCACTTTTTCAAGTTGTCAAAAGGAACAATCGAACTATGAATAGGAAATCAGGGGGCTGAAAATAGGGCAAGTCCGAGGACTGGGATCTGCTGATTTGACGCTCGGACCTTCGTAATTTCAAAGCAGAAAGTCTGTCAGACCTATCAATAATTTACAGTTTATTTACCATTTTTACCACTTTTATTAAATAAAAAATCATTAAACCATTAAAAATTGCGAAGAAATAAAGCGAAAGTAGATAGAGTTTTGGTCACCATCGACATCTCGTATCATATTTATTATTCACAATGAAACATACCAAGTATAAGACATATTAAGAGTCAAATTCACCGAAAATCTTACAAACCTAGAGCCTTGGCCCTTGCAGACGTGAAAATGCGATGATCACCAGTTCCCACGGCGTCTGCGGTCATCTATATATTGTTCTAAGGTTGTAAGCAGAAAGCTCAAACAGAAAAGTTGTGAGAGGCGTGACTTGGCGTGTGTGCAATCAATTCAATTCAATTCAAAAGTGTTTATTCACGCATTACAATATACCTGTATACATAATATAACTGGTAATATTAGTATCAGAATTGCGTAGGAGGGCGAGTTGACTGAAGTCTTCGAGTCAGCCACTCCTTAAATGTGATATTATTAGAATATTGCGCATGTGCGCAATCCAAGTGCTGAGCTGAAGGCTCGCTGTGTGCGCAAGGCTTAGAATTTGTGAATATAGATTTTGTAAAAAAAAAAGAAGCTTACTTGGTTTTGATGCCACCCTGCCACCCCCCTACCGCCTCCAGGGGAGCAGTACCGCCCACTTTAGTAACCACTGTGTTAGAGTATGTCTATGAGTTAGCCAATATATGGTGACCTAGATACAATAATGTAACCCAACAATTAAGAGTAGGGTACTACTCTTTTTGGGTTACATTATTGTATCTAATGGTGACCCAAGTGCTGAAATGAGCAAATATATCCCACAAAAAGAACCCTGCTCGATAATCTAAGACTCTTAATGTAATTTGTATAAGTGTAAATAAAGTGAGTGAATATGAACCTTACCTACAATTGCATGTCTAAATGTCTGCATCGGCCCTTTTCTTGGTAGGCCCACTGTTTTCGAATTGCCGGAGTGTGCTCATGCCAAGTTTGGGACCCCGGTATAATATAGTTCGTATATTCCGGACTCCGGAGTGCTACCGGCAGACTAGCTCCAGAAATATAGATAGCCCTTCGCCCTGCCACAGGACTATATAGCACAAATTATGTTGAAACTGGGCAACGAAACTGCTCCCTCTGCTCCCACGAGGAACAGCTCATAGAACGCATAATATAATGATTGTGGTTTTAAACACTTATTTATCTACACGGACGGTCGGACCTCTTA